CAATGTGGAAACTACAGAACCCGAACACCAAAAAAGAAAATCAACCTTCTGCTGGTGGCATCTGACTCGGGATGAAAATGAACATGCATTGTTCCACCCTACTTTGGATTGTTATCTAGCAGAAACTGGCATCAGCATGGACGCATGTCTTCTGGAATGGTGGTTGAAGAAGAAAGGGACATATGAATTGTTAGCGCATCTGGCATGTAAATACCTTGCGATGCCAGCTACAACAGTGCCATGAGAACACCTGTTGTCACTTTCAGGTGACATGAACAAAAAGTGAGCAGAATTATCTCCTGCAGATGTAAACAAACTTGTTTGTCTGAGCGATTGGCTGAACAATAAATAGGACTGAGTGGACTTGTAGGCTCTAAAATTCTATAGTTTTATTTTTGAATACAGTTATTTTTTGTACATAATTCTACATTTGTAAGTTCAACTTTCATGATAAAGAGATTGCACTACAGTACTTGTATTAGGTGAATTGAAAAATACTATCTTTTGTTTTTCACAGTGCAAATGTTTGTAATCAGAAATAAATATAAAGTGAGCACTGTACATTTTGTATTCTGTGTTGTAATTGAAATCAATATATTTGAAATTATAGAAAACATCCCAAAATATTTAAATAATGGTATTCTTTATTGTTTAACAATGCGATTAATTTTTTTAATTGTGTGACAGCCCTACTTCTAGCATGTAAAGGACCAATCGCTTTGCAGATTGCATAAGGCAAGTTTCAGGGTGTTCTTGCCTACTTTGCTTACTATAAAAGTGCCCACAGTAATTGGTTTAGTTATTTTCTTTCTCCCTTATTTACCATAAACATGTTCAAAATAGTTAGTTGTTTCAGCAATTACTTGTTCAGGCTTGTCTTCTCTTAACTTGGGCCTGCTTATGTGAGCTAAGTTAGCTCTACAAACACTTGGTTATTACCAGATAATGAGATACACTGATGAACCGTATTTTTATACAGATCATTATTATTTGTATTACAGTAGCTCTTTCAGGATTCAAGTGAGATTAGGGCCCCATTGTGCGTAGGCACTGTACATGCAGATAGGAAGAGATAGTCCCTGCCCTGGAGAATTTATAGTCTAAACAGACAAAGGGTGGAAAGGGAAACCTAGGTGAAGTGACTTGCTCATGATCACACATACGTCAGTGGCAGAGCTAAGAATAGACCCCAGGACTCCTGATTCAGAGTCCAAAGCCTTATCCACTATCCTTCATTGCCGGTAGTAACATATTTTTACTTTTACAGGCAAAGAACCCCCTATTATCACCAAAGAGCAGTTTCTCTGGACGATTCAGGTAGCTGCAGCTGCCGAGCAGTCTTGGAGGAATGGATCTGCTGTTGACTTACGCAACGAAGCAATAGACGTGTCTCTAATCAAGACTGAAATCATGTGACACACACTGCTGTTTGAAGTGAAGGCTGTTCCCTGAGCTCTGCTAAAGGGAGTGAAGTCTCTTCATCTAGTGAGGTTTCCACTGTTGTCTTAATACAAAACTAAACAACCTTGTTTATTTTTTTATTATTTTTTTTTACATTTTCACTGGAAACACCTATAACTCGGATACCTTTTAGAACTACATAAGTGTTCAGTACTGGTGTTACCGATGATTCTTAAGACATCATTCAGGACTCTGAGAAGAAATTATGGGAGGCTTTGTCTACAGTGGCATTTCCTTTTCGAAGGAGTTAGTTTCAGGTTCTGGAATACTGTTTTCCTGATAGTGGATTTCCCAGACACTAATCATGATAAGATAATGACATACTGAAAACCAGCTGTTGTAGTGAAGACTGTGCAATGAACATCTTTAATGGCAGCTTGAAAATGAGGTGCAATCATGGTGTTCAAAATGAGAGCATCCATTTGGTCCATACTGTACATCTCATTAGTATATGCAGGAATGTGATTTGTCTACTAAATACCCCTCTTCTGAGTCCCCCATCTATAGAACTGTCCATATTGTTCTTCATTCATTGCTGTGGATTTGAAATAACATAGCTGAGAAGTTGTGAGCATCTAACTTTTTGAAAATGAGCAGGCAGGGAGACTTCTTACCAACCTGGCTCTAGAGTGTAATGAAAGAAACTTGGAAGGCATGCTATAAATTGGACTGTTTCACAGAGCAAACCATGCACTTGGGCATTTCTATATGAACACTGCATCACTGTTAAAAAAAAATAAAGGTTTCTTTGTGAACAAAATCGTGAATCTCTATACAGTAGCACTGTACAACATCTGTTACGAAGAAACATGTCACCTGGATGCAACAAAGAGAGTGCGATCTATCGGCAGTTTTGTTTTCTTTGCTTGAATCCAAATTCATGTTTCAGTGTTTCTTCAATAGGGAAATTAAATAATACCTGTTTTCCCTGCGTGAGGGAAAGGAATATGATATACATGCTTTTTACAGTCCGCCAGATTTGGATTACACATCACAGAAAAAGATAGTGCCTTCCATAACAGGCAAGTCTGTTTTAAACCAGGTTATTTGTAACTTTTTATTCTTATGTTGAGCATATTGAAATTTATATATTTGACTTTTTTATTCTTGTTTGTATTTCTCATACCCTGGTTTTCAAGATTTAAAAAAAGGTTTTTTTAATTGTATTAAAATAACATTCTGTATATGTCACATTTTCTCTTCCTAAAAAAAAATTAACTCTGTCAATTTCCAATTCTTATATATATATATATACACAGTATATATTACTAAAACTAGAAATAGCTGTGATATTTATAACTAAACACAGTTCTCTTGTGGAAATGGTTTTTTAACAGTGTCATTTTTTTTGAAACCCAAAGAAAGCTGTGTATTAATGATAAACGTTACTGTCAGATTTGTGGTATATTTTCTGGCCATTTATTGAAAGATAGTTTATATATAACCCTCTCCCCCAAATTCCATTAAACCACGATAGCCACTTATTAAATGAAAGCGAATGTTTTTCTTTTGTTGGGGTTTTTTCTTTTTGACGTGAATGTTTGATTCAGCCGTAGTTCTTCTAAAACTTATACTTTCCTAAGTGTAACTTCCTTAAGTATGATCTCAGATTGTCTCTGCTTATATGTTGCAGAAAGTAGCACCAGTGTGCTAAAAGCTTTTAGAAATGAGGTAGACTTTTTGTAGGCACTGACCAAGATTCATCCACAGCTGTTCCCGAGTCACAGATGAAGGCCATGTCTTTTTTTGAATGATGGGATCCTGCAAGCAATTTGCTCAATGCACTCAAAGCCTATCTTAATTTTACTTCGGCTTGGGGAAGTACTTTTGTCCTTTGCTCGTTTTTATCTTCATACTACTCACTGAGCTTCACATTTCCTGCTCAAACTTCAGGCCAATTCTGAAAGGCAGAAGGTAATTCTCCAAGTTGTAGATCAGGACATTAGTACTATCAGATCACCTCCAGGGCCATCTAGTCAGGAGTTGCTTTTCTCTCAGAGCCACTGTCTTTCAGATGTCTGTTTTATTGTGTTACAAAAAAAAAACAAAACAAAACAAACCACAGCTATAAAAATAACACATTTTCCAAAAGATAACATTACAAAAAATACAGTTAATAGAGTTGGAATATATCCAGTAATACTGCTGGAAAAAGCATTAGTTAACATTGAAAACATGAATGATTATTTAAAAAATCTTAAAGCATTAAAGTGCTTTAATTCACTACTACTTAGAAAGCGCATGTTCACAGCTCAGCAACACCCTGAAGTGCTAATCCCTAAAGAGTACAGTGTGCACAAGTGTACAGCTTTCAGATATGGTGGGCTGGCTGCTTCCGCCCACTTAGGTTGGTGGACTGGGGTAAAAGCCAGTGGAAACTGAGCTGGTAATCACAAGGAGCAGAGCAGTGGTTTCCTGCCTTCCCAAGCTCCTGAGCTGCCAATGGAGAAGGGCGAATCTGCGTAGAAATGGGGAAGGGACAAGTACACTTGTGCTACTGTGCTGGCACTTGCAGAGGTACAGCTCAGTTTCTCTGTGGTGCTCCCTCTGCTAAGACTGAGGACAGTGACCATCCTGCTTGAGAGGAGAAGGTAGATCTTATGAGGTGAACACTGTACTTGCTCATAGGTGAAATCCTACCTCTGGCCCCTGTATGCCCGGTAAAAGGCCCTGAGCAGCATAAAGGAATTCTAAAAACCTCAGGCCAGGGGAGGAATCCCCCAGTGCAAGCACAGTGGAATGTAACCATAAGGCTCTCTTTCAAGGAACTCCTTGCAAGCCCCAGTGTAGGGAGTATGCCAAAGGCAGGACTGCAGTGTTGTGGAGATTCCAGACAGTGTGAAAGCCCCAAGCTTCCATAATTTAGGTCTCCAGGGCTGTCTAAACTATGGGGCATATAGTAGCCCAGGACTGGGAGGGGACAAAGTTGGCTTAAAGCCACCATAGCCCCTCCTCTGCCTGAGCTGTGAATTCTGTGCTGTGCCTCTTTGAGGGGTCTCACAGAATCTCACCCAGAGAGTTTCCAGCTGACTTGCACAAGACAAGGAGATGAATACATCTGCATGCTTGACTGTTTCCAGCTGAGTTTTTAAGTTCAACCAGCAGACAAACAAAAGGCTTGAGGAAAATTAACAAAACACCTATCCACAGGGACTGTAGGGAAGGAAGAAACCATTTCCACTCACTGATGTGGAAAATATCACTATTTTACCAGATGGGGATGATTATCAACAGTCTGGGAAATCCAATTTTTTACACATTCAGGTTAATGGTTAAGGCAAAATTAATGGTGTGCTATAAAAACTGATTTCTAGCAATATCAGTAACTTTGAGCAAGATTTGGGTGAATAATTGTAATTAATTATACCGAATCCTCTAATTCCTAAGAGTGGGGGCCATGGATTTGTCTCTCCAGAATTGTATTAAAAATCCACATGGGAAAAAATGGATTTTTTACAAGTAAGGCTTGAAACATATCAGGTTTTTGTATGTTTACATGCTAGAGCATGAAGTTAATTTAATTATGACACAGTAGTGTCTTAGGGGAAATTATCAATATTTTTATAGCATACAGGTACATGAAAATAAATCTCTCTATCCTTACAGCACGGTGAATATATTGTACATACAGCATGTGTCTCTATACACAAATATCATTTAGATACATGCACACAGTCTGGAATCAGCAAATGCTCTACAAAAAAACAAAAGAAACAAATACTTTTTGGCAGTCCATCAGAAAAGCAAGTCCTTTTGTTCTTGGGTATCAGTCAATGGCAGATATCCCTAAAGAAAGTGGAACAGTTGAGAGTTAAACCACTTTTTCACAAGACACAGGTCTTTATTATTCAGCCATCCCTTAGCAGACAGAGCAAGGATAGGGTGGAACGTGGGGCAGGCTAGAGTTAATCAAAGACAAATGTGTGTGTTTTGCTTTTACATTGCAATAGAGTTTGATGCAAAAATGGTCCAGCAAATTGTAAAGTTGCACTGTACATTGGCAAGTGAATATTCCCCTGCCACACCAGGCTAAAAAAACGCTATATCCCATTGAGAGATTTGTGTCAGCTGCCCTTTTTCCTCCCCTTGACCACTCTCATAAAACCATTGGAATTTTCCTCCTGGGGAATGTCCCAGACCCATGTCCTCACACAGCTCTGAGTTCCCATCTCTTGAGTAAAGCCATGTTAAAAAATATTTCTCCAGACACTCAAAGTTGGAAGTGTTTTGCCATTTTTCATGCTGGGATTCTAGATTTTTCCCTATTCCTTTAAATCTCTGTGTCTGGTCTCTTGCTGCCACACTGCTGGAGACCTTCAGTTGATCTCTCCCTCTGTGAACTCTTCTTTTATGGACTGTTTGCGGGATTTGCAGTCCGGCAGGTCAAAGCCAAAGTCCGCCCACTCATCAGCCCCGCTGCGGTTAGGGATAGTGATGGTGTGACGCACACGGAAATGCACCGCCTCCATGACGCGCTGCCGTTGCAGCTCCCCAGAACTGCCAATGGAAATGGTGGAGGCATTACTGCTGGAGCGGATAAGCTGCTGGGCTCCATAGTCATGGCTCTGTTTGAGTTCCTGAAGGCCTCTCCAGATAATCATCCTGTACTGCTCTGGGATCTTCAGTGCTCCGAGATCCTAGAACAACAACATCACTAAGGTTGGTCTCTTCAATAATAGCCATTTGCTAAATAGCACAGTCAAGATAGGGGCAAACCCCCGGACCATTAAATGTGTCGATCAGTGTGTGGGTATAGCCACATAGTCAAACCATGAGACGATCCCGGCTTTGGGTCGTACACCATATCATTTTGTAAGGAAAAGAGAATTCCTTTGCTTTAAATTAATCTAATTAACAAAACGGACAGTGTGAGGTTGACCCCCCTTCATTGTGCAGGTTGCAGAGCACCATGTGAGGTGTCGGGTCATTTGATTTACTGAAATAAAGAGGAAACCATCATCCCAGTTTGCCTGCAATCATTTCTCTCTCCCCTGATAACCCGGATTAAGCCTTGAACTAAAACGCCAGGTCACAAATGCTGACGGGATGGGCAAAGGTTGCCTTGGGGAGCATGATCGGCTCTGGATGGCTGCTGTTTCTCTGCTCTACCGACAGGAAGTGTCACGGGATTCTTGTGCATTAACCTGTGGCATCATGTGCACTAACTGACGTTATTCATCACAGACATTAAGTGCTATGGTCCTAATGTTAACCAGAAGCATAAAAACTTCAGGATTGTATCACACGTGCCAGAGGCTGCATCAGAAAAAATACAAGTGGTTTGTATTTCAGACGTATTGAATTGCTGCTAGAGGTCCACATTAACTCCAAACACACAGACTCACTCGTGGGCATTAATTCCATAGGAAGTAAGTATGTAATTAGGGGTTAAAAATGTCAACTCAGACACACAACCCAGCAATCGGTTTTGACCATGCCATACATGTGCTTTTTGGCAGATTAAAAAAAAATCACTTACAGGGTTAGTTATTAAAATGTTTCAAAACTAATCTAAGACTATGCAACTGGCCCCAGCTACCAATGAAAAATCATTGTGTCTTCAATAATTATACCATCTGTGTTCTTGATTGGTTCCTAGCTGCCAGACTAGGAGGGCATACAGCAAATATCTTAAGAATGAGATGGGATCAGGATAAGAGTTTTGTCCTGGTCAAAATACTAGGTTTGGGATTTATTTGGGTCTGTCATAGATGAAGTGTTAATTATGTGTATGCTGGTTACATTACTGGACTCAGGGAGCCCCTTGCCTCATTGATGTCGAGACTGCTGGATGACCTTACAATTTTCATCAGCACCAAAGGCAGGTGAATTTCATGCAAAGTTGGCTCCTCCTCTCCCAAGAGATTGTCCTTCAACCAAGAAATAGCTACAATAAAACTCCCCACACCCAGAGGCAAGGGGTTTAGACACAAGTTAGAGCATTTCCCATGTAATATATCAATTAAAAAAAAATTACAGCTCTTGACCAGCCCACAATATCAGGTACTGGGGTTGAAACAATACAGCTCAGCCCACAATATCAGGTTCTGGGGTTGAAACAAAAAATCACTAAATACAAAAAGCCTGATTCTGACCTTGTTTGTTCTGTTTTTTTGCTAATGTGACTCTATTTGGCCAGTGCAGTTACTCCTGATTTGCAAGGGAAGAAGTTGGGGCCTGTGGATCTGCGCTAAAGCTCATCGAAGTGATATGGGAATCACTCAATGGGCTTAGGGTCAGTTGCTGAGGACTGAGACATATTTAGTGAAAATCAATTCCAAGTCTGATTTCTGTATCTTTGGCTTTATTTTAGATGTGCACATGAGGAGAATGATTGAACCTGAATTCTTTTTCATTTTTGTTTTTGTCTGCATTTCTTTCTTAATTCAGATCTCTGCTAGGCCTTGCATTCTACAGCCTGGAAAAATCAACAGTAGAGAATATTAGTTTCTTTTAAGGATTGCACTATTGTTCTAAACCTATAGGACTAGAAAGAATGCATAATTGGGAAACATAAAACATGGGGACTATAAAGCCTGTATGATAGGTAGGTGCATATTTATTTCTTTTATTTGGTTGTCCTTGTTTTAAGAGCAACAGTGGGTAGAAACAAGTGATAAGAAGAGATCTTCCCAAAGCATTTACCTCTATGGTTAGATTCTGCAGGTGGTAAATATTCTGTAACCCTTGTGAGGTGAAATAGTCGATGCAGTTTGGACACCCCAAGCCTGTTAAAAAACTGCAGAAAGAATTTGAAAATAAAGTGGCATTAACTTGTCAGGTATATATGCTGTGTTCTCAAGTGTCACCACTGTGGCAAAGCACTTTTGAATTCATGTGAGGGTACGGGGACATTTGAGTGGACTCATTTCTTTCGTCTGAAGGCGTGGCAACTCTTCTCATGCTACTATGGTATTATGGGATGCAAGAAATTGGAAGCCTAGCAACAACCCATTTCAGGGATCCTCAAAACTCCTGGTCAGAGTTTTCTTGGGGCTGAAAAGCGTGAACTAATTTGGCATTAATGTTGGAGAGGTAAAGCTCATGGGATCAAATTCATCCTAACAATTCCACTGGCTTCAGCAGTCTTCAATGGTCTCAGTTAAATGACTTATATGGAATTACTCCAGGGATTAATTTTTCCCTTTGAGCAATTTGACTGAGGAAGGGTTGTGGAATTTGGCACTAAGTGATTTGGTCAGCAACAATTAATCTTTGCAATATAACATTTGGTGCTGGAATATTTTATGTAGAGTGCTTGGCTGCAGCTACAAAATGCTAGCACTGATTGTGCTACTCCGTGATTCTGGTAGACCATCTGGGAAAACATCTGATGTATCAATTCTTTGAGAAGGACATCAAATCACGGACTACAGACCTGATAACGTATGGATATAAATCCTCTACTGCAATTTCCAGTCACCATTGGTCCAAAAGGGGGAAGAAGGAAGAGCTGCAAAGTTATATGCCAGTGTTTGACATGCAGGGCAAGGTGCCTTTTCGTATCAGTCTGCTAAAGGGATCAAGTTTTGAATGAACTTAGTGAAAGTGAATAAGCCAAAAATCTTTGCAGGTGATTTGTGTTTCTAACCAGCAATTGGCTGGCGAGGACAATTTCTGAAGTGAAGAGTGGTGAGAACACACTCTGGTTTCATGAGCAGTGATTTCTCAGTTGGAACTAGTGACCAGTTGACCAGTTGCTAAACATATTTTTGAAGGTTAGAGTAAAGGAAAAGAGCATGAAACAACGACTTCAACACACCACAGGTCCGGTGCCGTCCCTACCTGACGAGGCTGGGGTCAGGGTTGTAGGGTGGAGGAGGAGTGCAGTGTGAACCTGAGACCATGGCCTGGGAGGAGTGGCCTCCGTTCATGTCTCCGTTGGATTGCATGGGGTGGCTGTTCAACATTCCAGGTCCTGAGCACAAGAAAAAGTAAAAGAGTTTCCATCTCATGGGCTGTGCCCAGAGCATCCAGGGGAGAACCATTGAAAAGTTTTTGATTTAACTTAACTCAAAGAAGCTACAACTGTCCTTTCCCAAGCACAGAGCCCCATTCTCCACTCTGCAGGAATAACCCACCTCAGGGACCAGAGCCCCTGAGTGTTAACTGGCAGGATTCCCTGCGAATTCACCCGTCGGGTGGAGGAGAGGTGAAGAAGCTGGAGGTTCCACCCCCACAATCCACAGATTCAGGGGCAACCTTTGCAGACAGCGGCTACAACGTGGATCCGGGCAGCCTGGCTTGGGCAGGGCTCTCCCAGCTACTGGCATGGTGAGTTGTTCCAAGCAATGTAGCTGCATAAGCGACTAATGACCAAGCCCAGGGTAACCTACTCTGCTTGGCATGGGAGAGGGGGAGGAGGAGGAATTTGGAGCTCGGCGTAGGGAGCTTTGCACTGCTTTATGTATTGTTTAGCCGAGCGAGGCTGCTGTCTGTCTGGCTTCTTGGCCCTTGGTGATTGCAGAGCCCGTGGCAGTGCGGGTGCCTTACCCATTGGGCCCAGGTTGGGCCCGGAGCTGGAGTTGTGCTGCGGTGGCTGCCCCACCAGCTGGTTGACAGATGGCAGTTTGTTGATCCCTCCTCCGTGTACTTTGTTCATTGGCGAAAGGACGGGCCCGTAGGAGGAAGGGGACTGCAGGTGACTCCTGCTCGGGAACAGTGGCACAGTCAGTTAGACCCTAGTGGAGACTGAGCAAATCAAACCTCTCTAGGGACTCCCTCCTGGGTGTCGCCAGACTCCCACCTCGGCCGTGTCCGTACTGAGGTTTTAGCCAGCACATAGCTGCCCCAGTGCAAAACCCTGCTCCAGACGCGACTGACGCTGGTTTAAGGTTGGGCACATTGCACGAGTGCAGATCGTGCCACACCCCTACTGGGGAAACCGACTCTGTACCTGTCTGTCTGGAATGTGCATGGGATGCAGAACAGCTGGCTTCACTTTAGTAGCAGGGCCCTTAAGGGCATCCTAATACATAGCATTTACACAGCTTCCATCTCCACCGCCCTGTGCGAACCCTAAGGGTGGTCAGGCCAGCTTCCTGGATCCCTGTTATGTCTTACGGTTAATTTGACGTATCTCTGGAGACCCCTTGTGGGGACAGTGGACAATACGGTCATGGTACTTACTGCCTCTGCAGGAGTTGCTGCTGCTGTTGCCGATAGGAGTCGACTAGCTGCTGCGGGACTAACTCCACCAGCTCCAGACTTTCCTTTATCTTCATGAGGATCTCAAAATTCTCCCGGCCACGAACCTGAATCAGGGACCAAGGCAAGCCTGTACTTCGGTCTGACTTGCCTTGTCAGGTTTGCTGAGGACCCTCTCACACAGCCCTTCCCACTCCTTTACCCAGCCCACTCAAGGGACAATGTGAGGATAGCCTTAAGCACAAGCAAGGCAAGCAGCTGCCTGGGGTTCCATGCTTCTAGGAGAGCCATCCTCAAGAAATTCAGTTGCAACTCATGGTCTCCTCTAGTCCCCTTCCTGCAGGAGCAGCGTGGGGTCTGATAACATGTCCCCTCCCCTAGCAGCAGGAAGATGGGATAGCCAAGTCCCTGGCTGTGGGAGCGGTGCTGAAGGCACACCAGGCCAAATTCCCTCTTGCCACAGTGGGAACAGGAAGGTGACTTGCAGCCTTGTTTTGGAGCAGGCAATTCCAGTGCATGATTCTGGATCTCCGCTCCTGCTGCTTGGTGCTTAGCGTTCATTGCAGACTTGCTCCCACCCTGTTCTTCACTGTGCCCAGTCTTAGCCCCATCGGTCTTGCTCCTTGCACCCTGCCTGCCCTCTGTAAGGACTCATCAGGCCTGTAAGCGCCAGCCACGCAAAGCAATTCAGTGCTGTGTACTGCTGGGAATTCCAGTCTGGGGAGGGTTCATCCTTTCAGCTAGGTAACAGATCACTTCATTGCCCTTTGAATTCTGGGAGCTGCTCCCCCACATCCTATCCAGGGGCCAGCGGCACTGCATTCCCAGAGCAAGGCGCAGACACTACATGCAGCAGAAGATTTGATACTTACTGGGACATAATACATTTCCTCTTCCCCGTGCCGCCTTTTCTTAACGCCAGCCCCTAGTGCTGGAATCCCCGGGGGGCTCTGTTTGAAAGCTGAGGAAGGAGATGGGAAACAGTATTACGGGAAAATCAAGTTAAATGTGATCATCTAAGCGGCCACTCTCTAGTTCTTCCATGACGTTAGAACGGGACCCATGTTAGATAAATGCAATAGCTCCTAGCAGGGCAGGCAGCTGCTAACGGGCCCTGCTGAACGAAAGCCAGAACCCAGGAGCAGGGAAAAACAGGGCTTCCCTGACTACCAAGCCCATTCCTGGGCAATGCAAACCTTACTGCACAAACCTAACTATGACTCAGCTCCCAAGGGAGAAAGAGGGCATCGCTGCATGGCCCTAGGCCCTTTGGAGTAATTTGCTTTGTTAAAGTTGAGGAAGATCAATATAGATCATTAAATTCACCCACTTGACAGGTGACTAAAAGATGAGTTATCACCATTGTGATAGAGGGCGAGTGAGAAGCTCTTGTGCATGAGCAGATAAATCACCAGGATCCTTCTGTAAGGTTTTACTGCAAACCGTTAAATAACTTCCCTGAGAAGGCTTAGCTGAGCATGTGCCCAATTATTGGAGGGGGGGGGGCTAGTGATGAAATATAATATGCTTACACAGAAAATTCTTTTCCTCTGCCTCCCACTTCAGCCCCCTGCCCTACACTCAACAGAGGTTTTGCCTGCTGCTAACCTATCTCTGGGAGGAGCAAGGCTTCAAAGTACAGCAAAAACTCCCCACTGACCAATGCTGGATGGGAAGAGAGGGGGCAAAGAATTCCTTTCTGATGCCTGCAGAAGATAAGCTTATGGACCATGTTAGTTTTTTAACTATCTTAGCACTAACAAACATTTGCCTAATGACGACGACGATGATGATGATGAACAAATAGATCTGGCCAGTGAAGCACCTGCACAATAATGCCACTCTGTTTTTCTGACTGCAAGGCTTATATCTGACGACAGCTGGATTTGAGCAACGAAGTTTGGATCAGAGTATTGCTCTTCATCTAAACTTCACCACCCAAGTTCCGTAGTTCAGAGTGTCTGTTGCTGCTGCCCCCGGGAGCATGGGCCATGCCCTGGACAGCACCAGCTCAGCAGTGCTAGGCAGTGCAGAGCTGGGGGTCTCACTCGGAGTTGAGGGTCCCCCTTTCCCGAGAGGAGGACTCACTGCGCTTGTTGATGTTGCCATTTTTAGCTGCATTTTCGTTCAGGGCTTGCTGCTCTCGGTAATGATCTTCGTCGGCTTTCCGATCTCGGCCGGGACAGGCGCAGATCCGCCCTTCAAACGATCTTCTCCCCAGTACTTGGCCACTGGGGAGCAGAGTAAAAACCCCAAAGTATTTATTTTTTTAGGGAACTAATCAGACTAAACCTCATTCTCTATGGGGCTGGGTTTCTGTCCCTTGATCAATTATTCAAAAAGCTTTTAAACACTCCAGAAAATACTAAAAAGACGACCCCCCCCAAGAGTTCAGGATAAGGAATTCCCCTCCGGTGAGCACCTAACAAGGGCTCTCTGCAGGAATTTGCTGAGCTCAGACGCCCAAGGCTGCTGTATGTAGACACCAGGCCTGACGCAGCACACAAGGTGCTGTGTTCCACGTAAGGTCTCACGGTGATGCACGGGCTCTTGTGCAGGTCCCTTTTGCTGGGGGTGAATTTCCCCCCAGGTGGCCTTTCATCTCTGATTGGCAAAGGGCTAATACAGTTACACCCGGGAGACGGGAGGCAGCAAGAGTTTTTTCAGGCTGTGAAAGGTGTGCAGGGGGAGCAGCCTAGGCCCCTGTGCACACCCACCTTCCCCACACACCCACCCTCTAAGGCTCTTCGTAGTCACTAACTTCCCCGTCAGGGAATGCCACTTCCCCGTCTCTTCGCTGTGCTTTGGACTCTCCATGCCAAAGATGCTTGGCCAGGAGTTTGCCTTGGGCTGCTGCTTCCAGAACTTTATGGGCTGCCTTCTCCTCCAGGGCTCTTGCAAATCAATCGGGGGTTTTGCTAACTCCTCTGTTTCCCTGCTGAGGCTCTCCCCAACCCTAGATGTGAACTGGGTGGGCCTCTCTCCAGCTATTTACCCAGCTAAAGTTCAGCTCGTAACCTGTCCTGGAGGCCCCAGGAGAGCCAGGCTCAGGCGTGCGAAGGGGAGGGGAGATGTCTGTCCTTTGCAGCACAGGTACCATAAGAATGACTCACTCTCTTGTCTCCAGGGTTATAATGATGAGGATGGGTCGCCTGTTCATCCCTCCCACGCAGCTGCTGTTGCACATGAAATTGTACAGAATGGTGGTGAACTCAGTCCCAACCTGCCCAAAAGAGAGGAAATGACATCATGTGGGGGGGGCGGGGTTAGTAGAGGGGGGTGTTAAAAGCCCAGGGGAGATGGTGGCAGACCTCAGTCACTGCAGCAAAGGGCTGCAGCCAGACAGGTGCAAAGAGCATGTCTCAGCTCACAAACCAGTGTGTGTGTGGGGGGGGTGTTGGGGGAATATTCAGGGAGGAAGGCAGGGAAAATTAATTTCTGCCCCTTGCTCTAAAGAAATATCCCCTCAAATGGGGATTACGTAGCCACTGTAACTGCAGAGAGCCTGTGTTACTTTCACATCATGCTGGTTTTGTGGGACCTTATTGCTAGATATTCATTGACCTGGGCGTGTGACATTGCAGCTGGAAATCAACATCACAAATGCACTAATTTAACAGTGCCCTAGGGGGCGTGCTAAGCTTTCCACTCACAATTTTTATTTTATTTCATTATTGGCCTTTTGTGCCCCGAGCAGTTACTAGCTGGCCCGAAGTTTCTGTTAAGCAGCACAGAGCTCTGCGAGCCCAGTGGGTTTGAAGCAAGATTCCCCTTTACGGTGAGATGCTTTGGCAAATCCAGAAAGGGAAGGAGAACAGGCACAATGTATCTTCTATCCGGGCTGTAGCAAGAGGGATATTACTCTCCAGACACTGCAGTGCCATCAGGAGCCTTGGCAGGGATCTCAATTCATCTCCTAAATTCCACAGGGTGGATGCTGCTTTCAGCTCCCCGGTGCCAATGGAGTCACTGCAGGGTCGGAGCTAGTGGGGCAGCTATAACTTTATTTAAGAAAACTACTATCCCTATTTTCACCCTCTCTCCTGGCCCATCCCCGCAGCACCTCTAATCCTCTTCAAGCAAAGAGAATACCTGTGGTGGCTCATATGGCACCATTACACTCTGCCTTCCGGTGACAGGGTCGTCCACGTACTGAGAGAGATTGTTGCCTTCCACCCGGATCAAGTGGCTGGCTGGAGCGGACTGGCCTGCAGAGGCAGAATGGAGAGTTAGAGATAAGACCCTTCCCGGTGGGCTTGCCGACCCAAGAACGTTGCACGGGGTGATTATAAAACCTGTTTAGTTAAACCAGGGCAAAAGGCAGTGTGGACGCTCACATTTTGGTTTACACCACGTGCATTTCAGTTTAGCTTAAGCTGATTAGAAATTGGGTTAAACACAACCAAAATAAGTGAGTTAAACTGGAAAGAGTGTTGTACAGGATGGTTCTGGTAAAATGGTTTTAAAAAAACTATGGAAGTTAAACTGGTTCAACTTCCATGTGTAGACATTGTTCCCTCCAGCTTCCCCTCAGCCCCACCTGCTCTCAAGGGGCCAAAAGGGGCTGTTATGGTCACATAAAACCTGACCTGAAAATTCCACCCAACGTGGCATTCAACCTAAACCTGACACTCTCCTGAGGAGCCAAAGAATTTGTTTAGCTGACTTTTACTTTCATCTGCCTCTGAGTTTACTGGGTGTTCCAGGTGGGCCCGAACCAAATCAGGACTGGTCCCCATCACAGTAGGCAAGTACAAACACCTAGCAAGACGCCCATGCCAGGCCGCTGTCCCTCATCCTCTGAGACTGAGAAACCCTGGGCATCTGCAAGACAGGAGAATCCCGAAGCAGCCCTGTGGGCTCCAAGCCTTCCCAATGGCAACCTCTGCGCAGTTTATTTGCAGAGGTCCTGCTGCAGCTTCGCTTCGGTGGGGCAGTGCCTCCAATGACCTGTGCAAAGGTCGCCTCAGGCGGCACAGGAAGGTTTGCGTTCACAGCCACTGTTTGTTTGGGCGTTTCGATGCTTTCTTCATCTAAGCGTCTCCAAGGCTGATTTTGTGGCCGCATGCATCACTCCCTTCCCTGGGCTGGGCTGCCAGGACGTGGCTCTGTGGAAAGGGGGCCCTAGGCAGGCCCGAGCCAGGGAGACTTGAATGTCTGGTTCTGACCGTGCCGGTGAACTTGGGGACAATTGCCTGGCCTGAAGAATCCTTTGGCTCTGCTTCACACCTGCTCATTCCTGCTGACCGGCGAGCAGGGCCCCACGTAAACAGAGGCACGTCAGGCCAGTCCTGCAGTGAGAGGCGGGGACCCCCTAACTACCTAACCCCTTTCAAAACCCCTAGCCCCATTTTTTCCTGCTGCATTGGACTGGGCTGGGCTGCATTTTCAGCAGGCAAAGGGTTCTGCTGGGAGCAGAACATTATGTGTAACAGCAGGAATCTCACAAGCAACACTTCGGGCTTTGATCCTTTTGTCTTCTCTAGATGGAGTTTAGTGAGGAGCTCAGGGTGCCGGCTGGAGCCAAACTGAGTCCAGGCTCCCTGCCGTTCTTCCTCTGAATGTCTTTAAGGGAGATGAGATCAGTGGATAACATTTTCAAAAGCACTTAAGCAGCTCTGCTCCATTGATGTACAGGGGACTTAGGCTCCCAAGTCACTTAGGTCCAGATGCTCAAAGGCATTTAGGCTCCTTACTTCCAGTGAAATAAATGGATGTTAGGTGCCTAAATGCCTTTGGGGATTTGGAACTTGGGCACTTTTGAAAATTCTATCCGAGAGTCACAAGCAGCAACTTGAGGAACTTGTAGCTTAGCTAGTAGGTGAAAAATATCTAACAGGCAAGCAGATCAGACCTCGAAATAATTTGCCTAGGGCACGTGTCCTGTCTCCACCGGCAGAGGGGCCCAAGAGGACAGGCAGCACAGGGAGAGGTAAGGTAAAGGATGATGCTGTCCTGGCACAGAGTGGATGGAGCACTTAGATCAGGTCTGAGCAGAGGCAGAGTTAACAAGCCCTGGAAGCACTGCCTGAGCCGTCTCACCTGCCATCAGTTCAGTCCTGGGGCTGCCAGGAGCGATGGTTCCCAGCACACATCAGGCAAAACATGGTGGTTTCATCTGAGCTTCACAGGCAGCTTTTTGGTTCTCAGAGTGAAAGGGGAGAGGGGGAAAGACTCCTGTATACAGGAGTGAAAATGGAGGGCCTTGAACCCCACCTGTCAGGGGTCGCGTGGCCCTGTTCATTGTCTAGTGCAAGTCTTGGTCATGGGGAAGCTCTGGGATACAGGTTATCAGCATGAGACAGGTTCAAACAGAATCACTGTCCCCACCTGGGAGGCGGATGACGGAGACACTGACCCGCTATTTGAGGGGAGGAGACCAGCTCTCACCATCATTAAAGTCGCGTCCCAGCTCATGGTTGGGGCAGCGCTTCACCACCTCGGTCACGTGCTCTGCCTTCTTGTAGACGGGCATGGCCCGGATGACGGTGCCCGGCGGGGGCGGCGTGGACAGTTTGATCTGGATGGGGCATGTCTTGGCGATCTGACAGTAGAGCTTCTTCAGCAGCGGTGAGTACTGGAAAAGAGCAGGGAGAGCTGGGCTTAAGGGCACATCCCTTGGCGCGGGCAAAGGGCGGTCGGGGACGGGATGAATTGCGGCATCAGGCGTGTCACAGCAGCTGGAGACACTGAGTTCATGGAGCTTTGCGGTGCAGGCACCATGTCTCCATTCCAGGGTGCCCCACACTGTGGGCGCCAGGCACCGCTGTTCAGACCAGCATGGCTCTTAGAGCGCCAGAAAACCCACACATAGGACTGGCTCCTTTATTTATTCATTTATATTACAGCACCAAACGGCCCCAATCAGAATGAGGCCCCCCCTTGCGCGAGGTGAGTGAGACGCTCCCTGCCCCAAAGCACTAGCAATGCAATTTATCCAGGCCCGGGGTGTGGGTGTGCATTGGGGCCCTCAGGCTAAGTGCCTCCCTGCCCCACACCAAGGCAGATTGTAACCTGCATGTCCCACTTCTTAGAAATGTCTCTTGGCTGAGGTCACCTGGTCTGCAGCCCTGTTCCTCCACTGCCCCATCTTCATCTGCCTTTCCGCACCTTGGCTGCACCAGAGAGCCAGGCCACGCATGTGCCTCTGGCCGGCACGCCTGGTTTTCACGCAGAACACGTGGCGGGTTGCTGGGGAAAATGTTTGGGGGCAACTCAATGAAAATGATAAGCATGTAAAGGAGGAAGGGTAACGCCTCCCCCCCACCCACCACACACACACCCTGGGGAGAGCAATGGCCAAAAGCCACATTCTGCCTTTATAACTTATACGCCTGCAACCGGATAGCCCTGAGGGCTGGGTCCAGCAAGTCACTGGGGCTGCACAGGTATGAGGCGGAGCTGAGACTGCAGAGACAGCTGCCCGCTGGCTGATGTCTCCCTGACCCCTCCATGGAGGGAAAAGCAACAAAATTTCCTTTTCCAATAATCCTCCGCTCCCCCCCTCCCCGCCCCAACCTGACTAAATGCAGCCTGGCTGCACAGGGGTCTGTGCCGGCGTGTGGGACAGGAGCTTTATGTGCCATTCCTAGACGCTAAACCCATGGCTTGCATTCACATTGGGTTCGGGAGTTAGGAGACAAAAACTCATCCCCTTCCCATCCCCCTCCCATCCCTGGCATCTGCTAGACGCCTGTATGACCCTCCCCTACGCACACAGCTCAGCAGGGATACCTGATCAGCTCCCGCCGCCGTACCCACATCAGCCTGGGCTGAGACGCTCCTCAGCGAAGATTTGGGGATTTTTTTTTTGGTGGGGGAGGGGAGGGAGGCTTATTCCAACATGCTGGAACAGGCAGGTTTGCTCAGGGATCCCAAAAATTCACCAGGAGCTAGAGGAGCTGTTCTGCACCAGCTGGCTCCCTGCACAGACGTGCTGCAACAAGTCGGGATGAACTGGATGCAGAGGGTAGGAATGGAGGGAAGAGCCCCCTTTACAGTGTCTGATCAACTCCCCTTCAAATGGGGGGGGACCAATCACCCCCCCACACACACACACAACAAACTTTTAAAAACCCAGATAAAACAAACAGAGGCAAACCCGTAAAGAGATTTTCGCTTCAAGACACAATTCCCTCTTCACTTCCCGGTAGCTCTGAGAAGAGCTGTCACCTGGCAAAGAGACTTACAGCGCTCAGTGAGTTTTAGGCCCCCAATCAGCAGACAAGCTGCACTTCTGCTACCATTGGCGGCGGTGGAAATCAGCTTATTATTGTTCTTGATTTCAGAAGACTAAATCTCTCCCTTTTCAGGATACGAACTCCCAGAGCCTCTGGGCCGAGCTGCTGTAGGGGTGCTAACTTTACAGCAGCTGACGTCTGTGCTTCACTTGGACCGTCTCTACACTTGGAATTAGCCCGATTCCACTCCTGGCTGTAGCTGCCCCAGTACAGACCCTTAGTCTAGCTGGTGAAGCCAGCGGTTGCCCTTCCTGCAGCCAGGCTGAGTATTACTGGTGCAGATCCTAGCTTTCCTTTGCTACGTCGGCACTGCCACCTGGCTGGCTGAAATCGGGGCTAATTCTGCATCTAGCCCTGGCCTCAGAGGCCAAGAGTTCTTACTGGAGGGCGGGAGCCAAAAATCAGCTTCTGAACCCCTGATGGCCTCAGATGAGTTGAGCTGTTAGTGTAGGCCACACGGAGCACTTCACACATTCCCTTGCCCGCCCTCACTAGCACAGGTATGGGGGTGCGCTCTGAATCCAGCTCCAGAGAGGGAGGCACCTCCACACACAAGTGCTTACTCTGCAGTGTATTTCTGGTAGCTTTTCTGTAGCCTGCAGCTGTACCAGCAGGGAAGGGAGAGGTCCAGGGATCACAGGCACAACCCCATGACATGGTTAGGGTTGGTTTTGGAGCAGGGTCTCTTGGATTCTCACTGCATGAGCCTGGGCAAGTCACAGGGGTTAGCAGTGTCTAGGCAGCATGTTAACATCCTTTGGATGGAGGGTGTGAGGGAAGGTGAGTGACTGGCCCCAGCAGGGCCTCCATTCCCCAGGAAAAACCTGCACCCACGTCCTTTTGCTATTCCAATGTGAAAATGACCAAGACTGGAGTATATGAGACTTACTGGCAGCAGTTCTGAAAAACCAGGGTTACTATTCAGTGCTTAAATGGCATCAAGGAGCAGCCGACCGCCCTGTAACAAAAGGGAGCTGGAACTAAACTGACCCAACTCGCGGCAGACTGGATCGGGGTGGCAAGCGCCCCTGCGGGATTTACACAGCCCAATTGTGCCTGCACCTAACGCAGAGCGTTCAGCACCAGGCAGCGCGGTACCAGAATGATATTGCCACTTTGGAGAGAGTTCAGAGGAAAGCAACAAAGATGATCAGGGACTGAGGTGTGGGACTGATTAACAGAGCTACATTTGTATCTTGGCTATGGAATTACACTGTGGTGGGGACACACACACACATGTCAGAGCCATGGGATTCCACTTACGTTACAGCAGAGCTCAAAGCCTGGCCCCAGATCGGGGCCCCATTGTCCTGGGCGCTGCCCAGATGCAGGAGAGGCAGGCGCTGCCCGGAAGAGGTTACACTCTAAACAAGGAGGATCACCTCTCTTTTGCACACAGGAGGAGAGGCACCACGAGCTAGGAACTGAATCCAGCCCACAAGGCTGTTGTCAAGTAGAAGTTTAGAAATGCTCAAGCTTAGCACTCCTGCACCCTACAGCGTGTGAAGAAAATGGACATTTATTTTCCTCTGGCTTTTCTGATCCTCCCACTCTCTGCTGTCTGTGCATTTCAACCCAAGTGCCAAGCAGGCCGGAAAGCAGAAAATTGAAATAATTACTTGTTAAAGAGCCAATGATTGCCTTTTGTGTCCTAACCACTTTGAGGTTATTGTGCCAATGTAAAGATTCTTTGTCTGCTGGCAAAGGGCATCACTTGAGAGACACAGGTATTCCTTTGAAGTTATTTAATAGATCACGTCTTCCTTCCATTGCCTTTCTCACGTCAGGCTATATGACAAGCTGCTGTTGTGTGCACATCGTGGGGTTTCTGTAGTACATCATCAGTGGTGAATGCATTTCCACCAATTGTTCTTTGAAGTAATTCCGCATTGTCCTGCCGCAATCTCTGGCCTGAGTTGGAAGTATCTGTCTAGGACCTAATACATGTGCATTACACAACACTACCAGAGTATCCAGGACCCATGTACGTCACACACACCTGAACACTTGGGGCACTGTGGGCGTGATTTTCCAAACAGCTTAGTGCCCCAGTTCCCCTGTAGTGTCTCATGTAACTAGAGCATCTCCGAACCGTGTAGGGCCTTGTTATGCCACTAGTGTTCAGTTTTATATGGCTTCCTACCAGACTCCAGAGCAGAGACCAGCCAGAAGGGTCCAGTCTGATCAGCCAGTCTAACCTCACTATTACTGTAGCGGATACTGAAGACACTGTACTAAAAAATGTCAATGGCGAGAGAGAGATACTGTAAGAGAGAGAGAGACAGTCAGACAAAGAGTGGTGATGTAGCCCCGCAGGCAGTCTGAGACGTGCCCGGAGTGGTTGGTTGTATCTAGAAAACAATTTTATCTTTACCATTGAAATATTCTCCACAAGGCTCTTACAGGATGTGCTTGATCGTGTGAAAGAGAAGCAAATTCCTGCTAGCCAGGGGCTGCCATTAAGAAAGGCAAACCCTGGTGTTTCCAGTGCACAGGTTTCATGGGCGTGCTATTTGCTTCCACTGGAGAATCACTAATTAGTATTGTAATGATACTTTGCATTTAGATGGTGCTTTTCATAGGAGGATTGCAAAGCCATTGACCAGCATAAGCAAGTATTATTAACCACGTTTTCTAGAGGGGAAACTGAGGCACAGAGACTTGCCCCAGACCTCACAACACTATACCTAGTTCCCTTGGACTAACCACACTTTCTCTTGTAAATCCAGTTTCATGGTCAGGTATCTACCAGGCTTAAATCAGAGTGCAGGTTACACAGCTAATCTCCCTGAGCATGTAATCAGGGCCGGCTCCAGGATTTTTGCCGCCCCAAGCAGCAAAAAGAAAAAAAGTGGGGGGGGGGGAAAAGCCACGATCGCGATCTGCTCTACCGCTGCCGCTTCAGTCTTCGGCGGCAATTGGGCGGCGGGTCCTTCGCTCCCAGAGGGAGTGGGGGACCCGCCACCGAATTGCCGCAGAAGAGCCGGACATGCCGCCCCTCTCTGTTGGCTGCCCCAAGCACCTGCTTGCTGGGCTGGTGCCTGGAGCCGGCCCTGCATGTAATTACCACAGCATGTACGCCACCAAGTCAGACCTGTGCAGTTACCCTGCAAGTACAAGAGCACTTACATGGTAATCGCTGCCCAATAAAGTACCACATCCCTCAATGGATAAAAACCTGAGCATGGAATCTGGCAGGGATGGGGTTAACACCATCCACAGGTGCTTGCTCTCAGTGCAGCAATTCCCAGAGCAGTGTGGGCTCAGCTGGGCTGAATTGCTCCAGGAGCCGAGCTTATAAGAGGCATGATCTGAGGTTAGGGGCTGAGCTGGTGCG